AAACTAAACTAAACTAAACTAAACTTCCTCTCCCTTTCAATAATGCTTAATGAAAGTGATTTGTTATCTCCATCAAGTAGTAAAATGCTATTTCATCATCCAGAACAATATTTTGAATGTTCATTTAAAATATGTTTCATCCTACATTGGATGAATTTATTATTAATATCATATATTTACATTATATTAAATGTATTTATTTATTAATATCATATATTCATATATGGTATTCCATTACTGTAGATATTGAAGCATTTTAACAAACCATGGGTGTAATATTTCTTAAACAATATGTGCACATAAATAAGTTTGTAGAAAGTTTTTATATATTATTTCTGTGCTAAAATACCCTTAACTAAGATGCTGCTATTAAATCATCCTTTTCCCACACTTATAGTATAAATTGCCAATAGATACTTTATTTTGAATAGGCCCACAATATTACTTTTTATGTTAGGATTACAAAACATGATGCTGTGTGAAAGTGAATGGGAAAAGCTGTGTATGTTATCTACATGTCTTTGTGTGTATGCTTTGAATGAGTTGATTAGTAAAACTAAGGAATAGTAGAAGTCCAGTTCCATCCTCTTGCTTATCTGAGCCTGGATTATTCCAAGGACACAAAACCAAAAATGATCAGGGTCCTCAATAAGATGTAGGATGGGAGGATCTCTGAATCTGATTCAGGAGAGAGATTCAGACTATTGTGGTGGATTAAATGTCCCCTCGCATTAAATGAAACTTATTTTGTTAGTCGCCTTCTGCTATTTTTCAGAAGAGAGGTGACACCCAGACATGGAATTCAGATAGCTATATAGATTAGAACTTGATGAGAAGCTTGCTGATAGAATGGAAAACTACCTGCAGTTTTGGTAATTGACACTGTAGGCTTTAAAGTTATATTTTTCGTCCAGTTTGGAAACAGGCAGGTTAAATAGGCAGTTTCCATTGGCAGAAGCTGTTTCCTTGTCCTAGTTTCTTAGGTAAAGCATATAATAGGACAAAATGTTTTCTGTTTCTTAATATAAAGAACAGGAAGGAGGAAAATTGAGTTTTCTTTTCTTTTCTGACAGCAGCACAGCATAGCAGGACCTAGAAAACGCAACATGTTATTTTCTCTCATCAATTGATATGCTAGCTATCGAGCAAATTTCCAGACATTATTTAGACCGGCGAGCCAGCCATTTCAGTATTTAGTATTTCATGGAGTTTGAATTGTTGACAAGTGAGGGAGATATTTTTTATGGTTTTGGATGGCTTGAGTAAAAAAGATTCAGTTCAAAAGGTTTAATAATCAAATGATGGTGATTGAACAAGAAAAAAATTAGAAGTTCTTCAGTATACATAAGTCATGGAGGGATAATTGTATCTGTGATGAAGGAGAAATCTGCTCATGCTGAACATGTATTGTGTTGCTCTGTTTGTAACCCAGCAGGAGTGGGTCACAGATGCAAGGGATGGAATATCTGTCTCTCAAGGTTAATAGGGGTGAGGATGCAAACAAGCATCCTACTCTACAAAGGATGAAGTATTTGTTTATTTATAAAAATTTATATAGCCATTTATCTCACATGAAGTGACTCTAAGCAGCATTCATCAATTAAAGCAATAAATATATAAAGCAGTCATCATTATCATACAAATAAATCCATAAGACACATCAAACATAATAATGTATAGATGATAATAATACTAGAATGTCACTGGTCCCCTAGGACCCCAGCCTAATGACATAGCCAGGTGTTGAGGGACTTCTGAAACATTGGATAGAACTAACCTCACTTTGGGGGAAGGGATACAGAATATTCCCAAAGCACAGAAGTCCCACCTCCTGGTACCTGCCGTGTATAGTTCCCTAGCAGACATGGGTAGGGAAATTTATGGGTAGATAAAATTGAGGAGAGGCAATCCCTCTCTCTTTAGACATTAAAACCAGCATCTTGAACTGGACCAAGAAGTATGACGCAGGTATGACATTTATGCAGTAAGTACAATAGATGCTTATTTAATTCTGCATTATATTCTGAATCTTTACATCAAAAAATAAAAATTGTATAGAATTTCATGCAGCTAAAGGAAAGAGGTANCTGAATGTTTGTCTTCCACAATCAGAGCCCTTTCTTCAGTTTTGGAGGAGATGATTCAATGGTTTTACAGTCTTGGAGGCAATCTCCCAAAGTCAAACAGTTATATCTTAGCAATGTAAATGTTTAAAATGTAAACAAATAAAATTTCATTGATTTATTTTCAGCAGGCATATAGTTTTGTCATAACACAGGTTTTCTGGCTCACAATATTAAAATGCTGTTTGTACGTAAGTATTTAAGAGACTTATATGACAGTCCATCTGATATATAATAATATAGGATATCTCATAGCGTAACAGTAAAACATTAAAAGAAACAATAATACTAATTGCAAGGCCATATCTCGTGGCTATCCAGAAAGAGAATTCCATTATACATCTGCTGAGCTCCTGTATCACCTAGTCCAATGCCAGGGGAAATATATATATACTGGTATATAAAAGATATTAAAATTAGCTTCACTCTTAGAGCATGATTTTCAAATAGAAAAACCCAATTAAAAAAAACCCTGTTTACAAGGACAGGGAGAATAAAAAAAAAAGATTTCTGGGCAGACCATAAATTTGTTGCTAAAAATCTTACCTAGAAAGGTTGTTCCATAAATGGGACATTATTGCCAACAGGTCAATGCACTTCACCAGTCATTTCCCTCATTTCAGTTGAACTAGGATCACTGAAGACTTTGCAAGAATGGGATTTTTCTTTGTATGTTTATTATAAAAACCCCACGTGTAGCTTTCAGTGTACAATGCTTTAACATTTTCAATCTTTTAATTGTTTTATACTGTTGTTTATTGTATTGTAAGCCACCCAGAGTCACTTGATAGTGAGATGGGCGGCATATAAATTTAAGACATAAATTACTATTGCACTGAGTGTATTTAACAATTCATTTTTAGATTGGAATCCAGAACTATACAACTACATCAAGTTGCCAGTCACGTCCCAGCCAGACACACAGCGATTATGGGAAGCTCTTTGTGGTGCTGGTTATTATCGGCTCAATTTGTGTCATCATCATTATCATGGGACTGATTTACAACTGTTGGCAGAGACGCATGCCCAAAATGAAGAACATGGTGGGTCCCTTTATGGGTTAAACTCTCTTATTTATTTATTTTTCCAAACAAAAGCTTCCTGATTGCTTGCCTTTAATTCCCAAATGCATATTTTTGTTTAAAAAAAGGTTTTCATTTTCCTCTCCCACCCCTGTTTCCTGTCTTCTAGTCACACGGTGAAGAACTACGATTTGTTGAAAACGGTTGCCATGACAATCCCACCTTGGATGTAGCCAGCGATAGCCACTCAGAGATGCAAGAAAAGAAGCCGAGTGTAAATGGTGGGGGAGCTGTTAATGGACCGGAGAGCTGGGATGTTCTGATTAACAAGCAAACAAATGAAGAGGGAGAGGCGTTTGAGGAAGATACCCACCTCTAAATGAGGACCCCACCTGTGGGGTTGCACTTGCGCTTGATTTAAAGGCCTAGAGCTGAGGGTGGCTCCTCAGGAACTTGTTGTTTTTCCATTTGGAATAGATCTGCTCTGAAGCATTAGCACAGTCCTGGAGCCAGAAGGGCCACCTTGAGCCAAGGGGGTGGGGTGGGGGTGGGCATGTTTGTCTCTTGCTGTCAGTAGCACCAATGCTTTAATCACATTAAGATGCACTTGCTCTAGTCTTTTGGTAGAAGAAGAGAATGGCCAAGTTTGAAAAATAAATGGTGTGATGCCCCAACACGATGCTTCCTGAAAGATTGGCTGATGGAGGTAATAGAGCAGCTGGAAGAATTGGGTTCATAACCTTATATTAAAAAGTGCAATAGGAGAAGTCACAATGAAAAATGGATCTTCCTTTGGGATATAATTTTAATATCTTTGGTCAATTCACCATAGATCCTGTTGCTCAGTTGTCCTAGTGTAGGTCTGTGAGGCTTTTTCCTAAAGCCCCCATGTACCACAGAAGGGCAAGTGGTTAGGCTAAGGCATCTTTTCGTGGGTAGCAATTTTTTGAACTTCTATGAATGGTTGTGTTTAGGCAAGAAATTATATTCTGCACAAGTCCTGGTGTTCTGTATTGCCCTGACTTTAGGTTCTCATTTGATAGATTGCATGATTTCCTTACCTTGGTAATTATCTTTGCAATAGAAGCTCCTTAATGTGGATCCAAAATTCTTAGTGGAAACTGCAGGATTAAACATGGCCCTGAATTACTCTAGCTTTGTTGGTGAGAATACAGAAAACTATTTTCCTATTATAGAATAAATTCCTACTAACATTTCAACAAGACTCAATATGTCCAGACAACATGATAAGCAGAGCAGATGGTTAGTCGGGAATACATCAGATGCATACCAGTTAGCTCTTTCCTCAAACCTCTTCCATGACCATGGCTGGCTTTTAGTGCATATCATATTATCTGCTCATTTAAATGTGTTTCTCTACCCAGCAGTGGNGTAGAGTGCCGCTCACCAACCTAGCGGTATCCCGAAGTTGCCAAGCTGTGGGAACCGGGGGGAGGGACGCAAAGGTGATCACGTTGCTTGGTGCCTTCGGGATACCACTAGGCTGGTTAGCAGCACTGTGCCTAGCTGAAGAGGAGGGTTGCTGAGCGACTGCTCTCTTCCCAAAGAACCGGGCACAGCAGCCACCCTGCAAACTCTCTTTCCAGCTGGGCACAGTGCCATTCACTGACCTAGGGCTATCACCAAACCGTGTGAGCGCCTGTTCGCCACCACCCGGCTCTCGCATCTTGGCGCATTCGAAATGCCAGTGAATAGTGTTAGGAATATAATCTAACCTAACAAATGGCGCTCTGCATGGCTGGAGAAGCGCGAGCGGCTGTTCTGCTCCCACTTGCATGCCTCCCAGCCTCACGATGCCCTGGACCAGCTCTCCCCGCAGAGCCAGAGCACCTCCGCTGCCGCCGCCGCCACTATCCCAGCATGGCTTTTTCGGCAGCTTCCAAACAGAGTTCCAAACTGAGTCTTCCAGCAGTGGCCGCTCTGGGCGTACGCTCTGTGGTTGTACACTCTGGGAGTATGCTCTGCCGACAGCTGACTCACAACCATAGAGCATACACCCAGAGCAGCCACTGCTGGAAAACTCAGTTGGTAAGCTGCCGAAAAAGCCATGCTGGGATGGCGGTGGCGGCAGCGGAGGTACTCTGACTCTGCAGGGAGAGCTGGGCCAGGGCATCATGAGGCTGGGAGGCGTGCAAGTGGGAGTGGAACAGCTGCTCACGCCACCCCCCTCTCCAGCCATGCAGAGCGCCATTCACTGGCATTTCGAAGGAGCCAATCCGTGAGAGCCAGGCGGCGGCGAACAGGTGCTAACGCGGCTTGGTGATACCCCTAGGTCAGTGAATGGCACTGTGCCCGGCTGGAAAGGGGGTTTGCTGGGTGGCTGCTTGGGAGCGTGGTCACCTCATGGCTGTTGTGTTACACTGCTGCGACAGNTTGGGCAGCTAAGAACTGCCAAGAAAAGTCACATTGTTATGAATGCCCATATGCTCTGAGTGCCATGTTGTTTAAATACAGTATTAGGATAAACTAACCTATAACTTTGGTTATGTAGTGTTCTTTCTCCCTTTTTTGTTGCTGTGAAGGGAGAGTAGTATGGTCCAGTTCGAACTGAGACTCCACGTGAGGATAAATCTTTTTCCCCAGGCGCTTTGGTTCTGAAAATCAGCACACATCCTATGATAGGATGATGATGATTCTATAATTTTAGAAGTTGAAAAATGGAGGTTTTATTTTAAAAAGCAGCAGTAAATTACAATGAGAGGATGAATGACAAATTTCAATGACAAGATAGGGAGAAGGAGTTTGTCCCTTTCCTGTAGAGAAAGAAAGAATAAGAACAAAAATGGAATGAGAAAAGAAATAGAGAATAAGAAAATATGGAGTTGTGTGCTCTCATTTAAATATATCAATTGGATAAGTTCTTAAGACTGGCAGTTAGACCAGAATAGCAATAAATAAATAGTTTCAGCCTCGAAGGTGTTTCACTGCAGCTAATTTAGTTCCTATGAGAACAAAAGTAATTACTGTCTCTAGACTTGTTTGATCTTGGAGGAAACACATAGGGAATGCTGCTCTATAGCTATGCAATACATTGTCGTTTAATCTGTGTGAGCAAAAGATTTATTTAAATAAATTTGGTTAGCTTACAAGAGCCCTTGAGATCAAAACTAGAGCCACAATTTCTCATAAGAATGGAAAGACTTGATTAAATCAGAATTCCCCAAGGCTTTTTCCAGAAACTCTTTTAAGAAACATATATATATATATAGTCAACGTTGATAAATAATCTTGTATTTTTTGCTCTGTTCTCTTCATTACCATATTGCACACATCCCATAGTTTTTTATTTTGAAAAACACTAGATTTCTGACTGCATATCCAGCTGAACCGCAAGTAGCTTTTTAAGAGAAGAATTGCTCATAAAAGTTCATATGTACTGAAAGAAAGTTGACAATAATTTGTAAATGAAATCTGTGTGTATTTCATCTCTAGCTCACTATGAGTACTGAAATCTGTTCCCAAAAGACATAAAATGATTTTAGCACAGTTTAATTTCATATATATAAATTCCTTCTCTTAGACAGTGTTGTTGAAATAGAGGTAAAATTATTAATAAATCCCTAGCTAAATTCCAGTTGGGGTAGTAAATTTGTGTAAATTGTATATTTCAAGATTATATATTCCTTCTTGTGGGGGAGATACATGCATCTTAATTTCTCACTGATGCTGTTTTTGAGATCTTTTGTATCTTTATTCATTTGATTTATTGTTTGTCTCCTTTTTGTCCTATCTATATCAGGAATAATGAGGAATAATTAGTTATAACTATCTTTGTAGCTAATGTTTTTGTTATCTTGATTAAAAGAAGCGCCATCACATTTATTTTCTTTCACTCATATTTCCCTAATTTGTTTTGCTTTTTAATTTGGTTATTCTTTGATGTCAAATTACTGTAGGGTATGCTAATCAGCTATCTTTGGGACAGAATATGAGTGGCAGAAAATGCCCCCAATCAATATTAAGCATGACAATAAAAGAATGTTCATTTTAAATGCAAGGTTAGAAATATTGCCTATGATATTTCCTTCTACATACAAGAACATACTGCAATCCATTATAAAAGATCTTGTTCAGTTGTGCCTCAAGGGATTTAGAACAGAATAAAAGAACAGAATAACAGAGTTGGAAGCAACCTTGNTTTGATCTTTAGGAAGGCAAAATGGCACCATTTATATCCAAATGAAGGCTTAATGAGATATTGGGATGTTTCAATGTTCAAAGACCAATAAAAAATAAACATGTACATTAGCTTTTAAAAGATGTATGTCAGAAACATTCAAGGAAATAAGAAATTGCATATGACATCATGAAATAAATCTGGTCTTGCCAGCTAAAACCCAAAACAGGATGACTGCACAATGCATGAAGAGATCATGCTTTGGATCCAATCTTTTCTGCCAATACAGTATGATTCAAAAATATTTAAAGGAGTGGAGTGCTTCTGCTTTGAGTAACTGGATAGAATGTAACTTTTCTTTTATCACATATACTCATCATGGTAAAAGAAATTGTAGGCATTTTCATTAATTTTTAAAGGTTATCAGCTCCGGTTGAACAAGCATGTAGTCTTTTACTTCATATCATGATGAAAGATAGTTCTCTGAGCTCTCCTTGTGTTACATTATTTATACTGACATTTCTGAATTACATAAATGGAAAAGAGAGTGCAAGAAAGATGCACTGGCTGTTTATTCATCAAGGTCTATAGAAAGGGGATGGTATTTTTCTGTTCAGTCAAATCAATGGAAATGTTATTTTTCTCTCAGGAACAAACACATTTTTCTCTGCTCCCCAAAAGGCTCTCACTGCTCAGTCTGTGGTGATGGAGGGAGACCTATCACGTCTGCAATAGTTCTACTGGTGTGGGCCAGGGATTGCTTACTACTAAAACTGCTCTCCTAATTTCCTTTCCTTTAGGGGGAGGGGGAGTGTCTTGCTTTGCTATCCCAGATTTTTGTCTTCTGCTGTTCATAAGCTTTGCCTTGTGAGCTGAGGTTCTGGTGAGTCCTTGTGACTCAGGTCTGGCTGATCTTTCCCCATTCAGCCCCAAGCATTTGAGGTTCCCATAGCAACCAGAAATGTTAGCACATATTAATAACTAGAGTGGCCTTTGAGTTGGCACAGCAACTGAGACAGCATAGATGTGGGGATGGCATTGCCAATTGATGAGCAAGATCTTAGAAGAACAGGACCAATATCTGTTTGACTTGAATCTGGGTACAAATCATTAGGCTCTTGCTCTTTAAAAAAATTAGCAATATTGTATGTTTTTTCTTTCTTCCAAAGATTGCAATAGTGGTGTAGGTAGATATGTTCCTTTATCTTCAATCAAGGCAACATCTTGTCAGATCCTTATGTGTTACCTTCAGCACCTCCAGCCTAGTAATCTTGCATTTTATCCACATTTGAAACCGATCAAGAAGTGAGGTTTCAGGATACTTAAAAAAAGAACATATATTTTTGTTCCTCCCTGAATTTTAAATGACACTTTCCCAATCATCTTGATCCCCAGGTTATATGACCAGATAATAAAAATGAATTTAATTGTTTTTGTGTGCTTACATAAACTACAGCTGGTTTGGACTATTTGTTGCAGCCAGAAAAATGTCAAAATTGAAGAATGGTAGCAGTTAGGATGGAACTACTAGGGAATACATGAACACACATTTTGAAACAATAAAGTTGATGTAGTAAAATGGAAATGGATGTCTTTCAAAATCTTGGCTTTCAGATCTCTTTTTCTTGGAAATACTGTATTTGGATGAGAAAGTGTGTATTCAGGAAATCTGTTTGCTTTTACTTAGGGGACTAAAAAATTATTATTATTATTTTTTGCTATAGGAAGAGTTCCGAGTGGAAAGAGGTATCCGATTGCTGGCCCTGATGGAGGATGCCTTCTCCAGATATGACAATGGATTGCAGGGGCAATGGTTGATCTCCTTAAGCAAACCTAATGAGAATGACAAACATCTGTTGATGACCCTAGCAGGAGAACATGGTAAGATTTTGGTAAAAAAATAAAGGGTATCTGCCCCTTACTATGATTATTCCAGTCTTTTCCCTGTACAAGTATCTCTCATGCTGTTAAAGCATCTTGTCTCATCATTAGACATCATTTCAACAGGAATTTACTATTTCACAAAAGTAAGCAAATATACCTGCCTTAATATATTAGGGTCCCAGTGACTAATATACTAGGGTCCGAGTGACCAAACTAAACCTCTGGTCCCAGTGACTAAACCAGATTGGATCCTGCATCATAATATGATACATAATACGATGCATAATATGATGCAGGATCTGATCTGGTTTGGTCACTTTGGGACCAGAGGTTTAGTCTGAACTTTCAGACTTGTACTGGAGC